AGGCTCCATTGAAAACGGCTCTGAAAAAGGTACATTCTGATAAAGCAGGAATACATGAATCTCTAATACGAGGGGCCTGCGAATTTGCACATGTAACACATTAGTGGATTTGATTTCCCGTACACAAGTCATTTGCCCCCTCTTCATGTTTGAGATCTCAATTTGTAGCTCTCCCAAGGAGCACAATGAAAAACCAGGTCTGAGGGGAAGAGATAACAGGCAGGTGCCAACAGCTGTGTGTGTGTTTGGACGCGCGTGTGTGTGCGCTGGTGCAGCCGTGCTCGCACACGCAGATAGACGCGTGCTTGGAAATAATTTTAGCATTTATTCCGCTGTCATTTTTTGTTGTTATTTTGATCGCCATCCGTCAACTTTTATTGTCCTCCTTAATATGATATTGAGACTAAACTCCTGCTCTTTGTTGTGTTTGCCGCTAACCGGTTTCATTGTCCGCACCACATTGTTCAGACGTCTGACAATTTATCGTCTGCAAAATAAGGCGTCTATTAAAGCATTTATATACAAATAACAGCGCTAACTGTATTTTAGTAGTCTCTGTCACTATTGTGGAATGCATTCATTAGATATGATGAAACAGCAAATATTCAGAATGCAACTGTAACAAAAATTCGACTTTATGGCATTTTAGCTTGAAAAATAAGAAGCATAGTTAAGAAATTGCGTAAAGAAAAAGCATGCTGATTAATTTTGTGTAAGTCGTCTGATTGATTAATCGAGTAATCTCTGAAAAAAATCAGTTTTTTGCATGACGTGTTATGGTGCATGCAGAGTAGAGAAGTAAACGCAGTGGCTTATTTGGTGGGTGTGGCCGAGTGTCACTTTTACGAGACCCTCCTCTCATTGGCGGGGCCCGAGATACAACCCCAGCACAAACGGCGTGCCGCCTCACATCGCCTCCCCGACCTCAGGCTGGTGTCTGCTCCGCACATATAAATCGCGTTTAAAAGAGCCTCCCGGCAGAAGAAGCCATCACTTAAGCGCACCTTTGCTGCGTTTGAGGAATCACCGAGCTTCAGAAAGGCTGCTTCTTACCTAATGCAGAAAAATCAATTCTGCTTCCAGATTTTAAAAAATTGAGAGTCAGTTTTCAGCTTCTTTTTTCTTTCTTTTTTCTTCTTCTTTTTTCGAATCAACCTGTGCCCTAAAGCCGTCACGCTGTAGCAGTGTAGAAATGTGGAATTTCCATTACTCTGATCTCTGGGCTCTGAGCTCCAGACCCTGCGATCCCACTCTGGGGGCCAGTTATAGCAAGTAACGAGACCAAGGGAACAGGGTCATAAATCCTCGCCAACTCTCCTCATTTTCCATCCTCTCTCAGTCCCTCCTTTCCTTCCTTCCCTCTCTCCTTCGCCTCCGACTCTCCTGGTCGAGCCTTGGGTAAATGATTGAAGGGAACCCGAACGCAACAATGCAAAACATTCCCACATGTCGGTTACAAGAATGCTTTTAGTCATTGTGCTAAAGACCAATGAAAGTTTTAATGCTGGGAGGAAATGAGTTCATTACAGCTTCTGGACCTCCTCCCCTCCCTTTCTCTATTTGTTTATCTTCTGAATCGCATTTTTTTCTTCTTAAATCGCTTCTTTTACACTTTCCTCACCAGTGAAAATTAATTCATATCGCATAAAGCGATTTCTTTTCTCTCAGCCCTTCCTTATCTCCCTTATCAGATGTGGCGTCCATTACATCTGATAGCCCGATAGGATGGTTTCCTCTAATAGTGCAGTTTGCAACGCGGGTCAAAAGAGAAGCCCGTTGCTATTTCTGTCTCCCATGGTGCCTCTCTTTTCTTTGAGAGGGCGTCAGCTTGTGAAGTTCTTTCATTTATTTATTTATGTTTTCATGGCGAGTGTCCGGCGGGAGCTGCTCGCAAATATGCAGAGTCATGCACGCAGCTGCAGGGTGCTTATAAGACAGAGCAAGGTTTTTTTTCTTCTTTTTTTGTCACATTTTCATCATTTCTCTGACCGATTTGACTAAATTAGGAATTAACTTTTTTTCAAGGGGATGGAGTAAAGCTGGGAAACTTGTTCCTGGAGCCAAAGGAAGTAAAAAAAAGTTTCCCTTATTAGGATCTCCTATTTCTTAACAGTTTTGCTTCATTTGGGTAGCGAGGTTTGTGAAACGTCCTCCCTCTCTTTGGGTTTATCCAAAATTTCCTCAGGTCTGTGTTTAAGCTTCCCAAAGCTTCATCGAGCCTGAGCTTGGCACCGCCACGCATTCGGCCCCTTCATGATTAAATATCAAGGAACTCCACTTGACATTTTATTAGCCCAACAAGATGGATGAAATGGGCAGAATAAAGTAGGCTGTGTCTGTTCACTTTCCCACCAGCGCTTGCCTTTCTTCTGTCCGGCTTTTCTTTTCTCTCCCTTCCTCTGCATGAAGTATGTATTAGGAAAACGTGATGGATTTTGCTCTGAAAAGGAGATTTTTAGTGCCAAGGAGGAAACACATATTTCTGTCTCTTACCTGATGCTCCCGCTCTGCTTCTTCCTCTTCTTCCTCTGTGTCTCGGCTTTCTCTCCCTTCCTCATCCTCCTGACCCCCACCTTTTTTTTTTTCTGTTGTTCTACCTCAGATCTCTGTCTGAAGGATTAACCATCTCCAGCAGTGTGTCTCTGCTGTCTTGTAGCGCTGTGTATTGTTTGTGATTTGCTCAGGCCCATCCGTGCGGCTGCCCATTTCGGCAGCCCAGTGTGACGTGTCGAATTGCGAGGGGATCGTGCGGAGCTGTCTCACGGATCCACGAGGCTCCTCGCAGCCCCTGGGCCACACTCATTCTCCAACACCGCCCCTCACCTGTGGGCCGTACACGCAGGCACGCATGCTCATTACCTGACTCGTCGGGTAGCTAGGGCGATGGGGTGTGGAACCCTGAACCCTGTTTAGCTGCAGGCGTCAGCTGAGTTTCTGTGTAAAGGCATCGGGGCCATCGAGACACGGCTTGAGAGGGAAAAGAAAGGTAGATGTGTTTCCTCCATGTTTTCAAAAGTTTAACACTTTAACACCCAGGAGTCCCCCTCCTGTCTTCACTCTTGCCCGAGGCATGCCAGAGGAACTCAAAACACTGACTGAGAGCTAATTCCACCTGTACTCACTCTCTCGCTTTGAAAAAAAAGAGAAAAGCAGGGGAAAAAAACAACAATCAAGTACGTAATTGGTTGCGCACAGAGATGAAGGTGTTCTACTTGTAAAAGAGTAAAATCAAGCATGGGAGACGACCAAAAAGAAACAAGAAAATCCTCTTTTTTTCCTTGTTTTTTTTCCCCTGAGCTCATGTTTGTTCCCTGATTCCAGCCCCCTTGAAATTACAGGAAAAAAGGCCTGGCTCATTTTGTGCAATTTCACTTTCATGTTTTCATTTTCTCGCCGTATACTTAGTTGATTCGTTTTGGTAGACGTTCTTATCGCGATGGCTGAAATTACGTTTAATTGCAGTTCGTTGAAAAAAAAAAAAGGCTTTAAAACTGCCTGTGAACAAAATAAAAAAAGACAAAGCAAACACAAAAAAACCAACCCTGCTGCGTGGCAAAGCCAAATATAAACTTTTCAAAAACGACGACTGTTTTCAGTCACATTTTGAAACCAGCACGAGTGGTGAGAAGATTTGAATCTGTCTTGTGTTTTTGTTTTTTCTCGATAAAGCCCAGTCCCTTTCTTTCTGAGCGTTTCGCCTTGATCTCGAACAAGAAGCATTTTTCACGTGTGACTCAACTTTTAAGGTTCATGACTCCTCTGGAGTTCACAGAGGTGGCAGATTCAACCAGAGCCGCTGACACCTGGACCCGTGTGTTATGACTCAACCCTGTCACACTCTCTGACTCCTGCTAATAAACATGTCTTACCGCTCCAGCGGCGTGGAGTGATACGTGCTCACAGAGATGAGCTATATGTCGTTCTGGCAGAACGAGTGTGTATCTTCTGCTTGCGTGTGAATGTGACTGTAACGCACACTTGTAGGAGTTGGGGGGGATTGAAGGAGACTGCTGGGAATTGAACTGCACAGAGAGTATGTGTGAACTGACGACGCAGTGTATGGGAATGTCTGGCACGCCCCCAGAGGTATCCCGCAGAGAGGGAATCCTGCTTGATGTGACCATGAATAGAAATCCTTCCCACCCCTCGGACCCACCCAGGCCTTTGATGTCAGAGGGTCACGCAGAGCCCTCGCAGCGTTCGGGGAACATATTTACCCCGAATGCCTGGCAACCTCACCATACCCTGCTAGCTCTGCCGCCTGCATTGCCCAGAAGAAAAGCTTAAAGCAGACACTGCTGCTGGACTGCAACGAGGAAATTCAGATTAGATGGTGCTGACAGTAAAGGCCAAAGAATGAGTTTTTCAGCCTTATTTGATGAATCACTCATTTGATTTTTGAAGATTCTAAACTTCAACATTTGACGAGGTGACCAGTCTGGAGCTTAGGTGCATCCATACACTGCATACGACTGTTATTTCCAGCAATTAATCTTCTTGACTGCTTATCCTGTTCATGGTCATTGGGGTTAAAGGAGTCTATTACTGCAACCATAGAGGAAAAGGTGGGATACAACCTGTACAGGTCCTTCTCTTTAATATGGGGCAATTAAGATAATAATGAGCATTTCAAAAGCAAAAAAAGTGGAGAACACATTTCTTTGAAGGGGTGTTAGTAAAATTTACTGCATAAAAAGCCCTTTTTTTCTCAGATATTTGCCTAAAAGGCACCAATAGAATAAAGTTAAGACAAAACACTGTACGACTCTTACTGGCGCAATGTGGAGAAAATTCTTTTTATTATTCTGTTCGTCATCCCAAGAAAAATGGTTTGTCACAAAGGCCATGAAGGATTGCTGTGGAAGAGGGACTCCAGTTTGCATTGGAATGTGTGTTAGTTGCAGGTCTTAATGAAGTCTTAATGAAGGAACCCCTGAATTCTCTTTCCTCTGTTTATGTCTCTCAGTCTCTTTCTGTCTTCTCTCTCTCCCCTTGTCTCAGCTCCCTCTCCTCTCTCCTTGGGTCTCAGCTGGCTCAGTTCCTATGGCCCTTTGATCTCAGTGAAAGGGTTTGGAGCTTTAAAGTGCTTGTGTTTCCGCTGTCAGGAGCCTCTCTCTTCCTCCTCTCTGGTTTAGGCTTTCAGAGCGGTGGCAGTGCTGTGCCGTGGCTGGGTGGGTTAGAGGGTTGAGAGTGGGTGGGGTGAGGGGGGTGGGAGTGCCGGCTTCTATGAGGTGGTGAGATTGAGGTGAGGTTTGAGGGGGGGAGGTGGGCATGTGATGCTGTCAGCCTCGGTCAGGAGAGGTACTGACACCTGACAGATCCCAATTCCCTCTAAAACTCTCAGTTCCCACCTCACTCAGCCCCTTGTGGCCACATGTGTGTAAACTGCTTCTTTATTTTTCACTAATATGAAGTCCTGTGCAGTGTTCTGTTACTAAATCATCCATCTGCTACTAAATATTGTTAGCAAAAAAAAACAGAGAGAACAAAAAACTGTCAGTTCACAGTACTGCAATGTTTTTGTGTCAAACAGAGAAAATAATAGAATCACAGAGACCTTTGTGATGGGTTAGGCCTTGTTCAGACTGACTGCGGCAGCACTCCTTGACAGTAGGGGAGCATCTGGATAGGAAACATGCTCAGGTTTTGATATATGGTGAATAAAGTTCCATCCTTATAACATATTAAAGCAATATTTTCCCATCTTACCATCAATCAGGTGCTTAAAGTAATCACAGTCAGGGGTTTTTGGAGCCAGTGTAGTGCTAAGCTATTATCTAGCAATAGCACAGACCAAGGTAGCTGCTATCTATTAGCATACTACATATTATCATACTAAACTGCTACAGATACTGTTAACATAATTAAACAAAGCACCTATCTTTAAAAAAAAGAAATGTATTATACTCATTCATATAGCACTTTATCTACCTCACGTCCTCACAGAATGGCGTCAGCTGGGATTTGAACCAGTTGCCTTCTATTGTGTGAGGCGAAGCTGCTAACCATAGCATCCCTATGAAAGTTAGCATACTCATTAAAAAGGCTACAGTTAGGCTACAGCTAAAATGTTTAGAAGATGTCTAGAAGTGGACATTTTAGCAGGTGAGTGTGTGGGAATGTACTGACTTTTGGAGCCAGCCCACCAAGTGTTCTTATAGGGAACTGCAGTTCTTTGTTGCCCCTAATACTGATTGTCTACAAGTCTAGAGCATTAGCCATCACTAACTTTAGCTTGAGCTTCTTCCACGCACTTGGCTGCTTATAATTTGCATTTACGAGTGTAAAGAGAGAAGAAAAAACCTTGTTATCAAGTTAATGACACCGGACTATGTAATAATATGTAATGTATATGTAATAATAGCTAAATGCTAAATGGACTGGTTCTTATGTAGCACTTTGATACTTTGCCCACATACATACAAGCACTTTTTCTATGGTTAAGTGCTTTCTATCTATAGACATTCACACTTTCACACTTTGAAGCAACTTGGGATTCAGTATCGTGCCCAAGGACACTTTTGCATACAGATTGGATCAGCACCACAAACCTACCAATTAGTGGGTGACCTGCACTACCTCCTGAGCTACAGCTAGCTACAGTATACTATTATTCATAGCTGCAGCTACAGGCAGTAGTTAAGTGTGAACATGAGATGCATCTATGGTATTTCATATTCATTAGTTACCCTGTAAATGTGACATCGAATCAATGTAATTGTTGGCCTGTGTCATGGAAAAGCTACATTTTCCAGCACTCATGAACCGTTGCAGTGTACAGACTGGTTTTAGTAAGACTTCCTCTCAATTCGGCAGGGTCATGACTGCTGGCTTCAGTGCCTTTTTCTTTCTTTCGCGACTCTCTGTGGGAGTAGACTGGCAGCTCACAGATGAAAATTTGAAGGTCCATGAATACAGTTGTTGGGTTATTGGATTTGGACTCGCCAATTTCCTGTGCTGGTCACCAAAGAACACATGAAGAAATGTTCATCTTTTTTTCTTTCATGCGCAACGATTTCATGCTTGAGCTAAAAGTATTTTACAGAGCCCGGTTCCTATTTTAGCACACCGCTATGTCAATACCACCAGGTCAGGCTGCTGCACCACAATGATACCTTGTGTGCCTAAGTGAAGTCATCAGCCTTCACCGCAAATGCATGTTTCTGTAGCTTTCTCCCCACTCCAAAAAAAAAAAAATTATTAGTGTGGATATAATCTTGTTCCAAACAAAGATTCAAGGTCTCTACACTCCCACTCTACAAAAACTCAAAATCTTTTGGGGACATATTTACACTTGGCAAGTGTATATTCATTGGGTGAAATAAGACGACAGTTTAAAATCCACAGACCGCCCCGTGTAAACATGCGATGCCTTAAAGAGGAGCTGGCTGGTTTAAGAAAGGCCACGTGAAAGGAAATAGCTTCCATATGTCAGGAGCTCAGGCTTTCCTTTTGCCCGTTTTGCAGGACGTCTTCTTTAAGGGTTAATAGGAATTTATAAACCTGTGAAGTTTTTCTCTTCTAAGAAGAAGTATGTAAAACCCTGCAGGACAACTTTGATGTAAATCTCAAATCAGGTGTATCCGAGACGCTACTTCTCCGCACCCACACACCTACTCTCACATCAGCGCACACACAGGGCGAACATTCCTGCAAACACACGCTGCACATTGTCAGACTGCTTCCTTTTGTCATGTTGATTAATGCATGCTGGCAGATGCTGAGATGATCACGGCCCTACAGAGAGCAGCTGAGCACGGAGGATCGGCCACTCGCTTGCATTTTCTTTTAAAGACGTGCCGAACCTCCTCCGAACTATCAATCTCTCCGCTGTCCTCCTTAAATCCCCTCACACCTGGCTGCGGACCCCTTGAGACGTCTTTTTTTTCTCCCCCTTCCCTCCTTGTCCAACTCCCCCTCTGCCCTAACTCTTCCCTGTCCACCCTTCCCTCCCAAATTCATAGGTCATATGTTCACATACTCCCTCCTTCCCCTCCCTGAGACTACTGTTCACAGTCATCTCTTCCATTTGTCACGATTTTCCCACCAGTATTCCGGCCATGCAGGCGATTGCTTTGATCTTATTTTTAATTAATTGGAAAAAACTAAATAAAGGTAGAGGCATTTAGCTTAGGCCGGCGTACGGGGACGCAGCCAACACATGACAGGTTTAATCAGTGTCATGGCAGCCAGAGTGGATGTCTGGCTTCCCTCAAACAGGCCATGAAATTCCTCTGCTCTTCCTCCTGGGTTTTTATTTCAACACAGAAAATGTGAAAAATGCTTCCAGAGATATTAGTTGTGCTTACTTTGCTGCCAACCGAATGCCTTTTTTTGCAGGTAATGGTTAAAAATGTGTGTTTGCATGTCCGTTTCTCTTCTTTAATGACTGACAGAGCAGGTTTTTTCGGTTTCCCCCGTGCTACATATTTCCCCCGAGTGCGTACGTGTACGAGCTTCAAGGTCTGCCATGTGACAAGAAAGCAAACATCACCCTGCAGCTATGTTGTGATCTCTGCAAATGAGGCATATGATGGTGGCGTGGGGGCACATGACTTGCTTATCGTGAGCACGTTCTTTCGTTCGCACACCTGTTTTGAAGTGCCCGTTTGCTCTCACGATGGCCTTCTCGGCGAGGAGGAGATTTCTTCCAGCTGACGTGCAAAAAGACACCAATCATATGGAGGTGGAGAAAAATTCCACGACCGTTTGTGTTGCAATGTCAGGTATGAGCCTGAAAGTCGCCACCTTTGCGCACTTCAAACAGAAAAGGTTTTGCTCAGGATTTCTCTTCTTCCTCCGGAGAGCGCCGGCGTCTTTTTCCCGTCCACCTGCTTCAGCGTCGCGAGACATGTTGTCACACTGTCGACCGCAGTGCAGGCCTTTAAAATTGCCCCATAGCCCCTTTTTGGTCTAATTACAGAAAGGCTTCTGAAGATGAAGAAGTTCACGTGTGACTGTGTGTTTCTGGGTCTGCTCCTCAGTGGGTGTGTGTGTCGTTTCCACTCCTCAGTGCTCATTATTGACCCTGGCCTGAGCTCTTTCATTAGGGGGGCTGTGAAGTGGAGGGACGAAGGGGCCAGGAGGGGAACAGGGGATGGGGCAGAGGTCGTAATTGGGCTGTTCCACTCCCTCTGGCCTTGCTCAAGGTCACTGCGAAACAAACGTTGGGCCAGACTTTTTCCTCTCCCTCTTTTCGCTCATCCTTTCCTACTCCTGGGGTCTTTTGTCACAGTAGACCAGTCCATAGGGGAGCCCCAGAGAAGCAGAGGGGCTAATTCAGTCTAATCTTTTAGCCCGTTAATGTCTGCCTGATATGGGGCTTTCTCCACATCCTCAGGGGAAGGCCTTTGTGGTGTAGGCCATCATTATGAAGTTTCCAGGCGCTCCTAACCAATTATAAGAAGTGGGCACAAATTAGTTAATCTCAAACTCTGCTGCTAAGAAGTTTTCCTGATTGTTCTCAACTTTATTTCACATCTCGCAGAAAAGAGAAATTTGATAGTAAAGGTTTCTGATAAAGTGAAGCCTGATAGCACTCACATTTTCTATTTAAAGAATGAGAATTTGTATGAGACTTGCCAGTGGATTTTGTACAAAATTGTATCCGTCATGTGCAATTCTGTACACGGTTTCATCTCCAAGCCAAGTTCGAAGCCATCTGAGCAATGTAGCGTTGCGGCGCAGCGTTGCTTGTCTGGCCCTGGCTAGCGGTGAGCTCGGTCTAACGTTTCCCTCTGATTAAGACGCAGTGGTGAAAGCTGCCTTTGATCTGAGGAAATGTCTGCGTAGGGAGCAGTTGGAATGCAGCACTCTCCTCTCTGCTTTGCAGATGGAGGGAGAGAGATAGTGTCACAGTCTATTTGTTTGGTCTCGCCACTGCCAGTCTGCCAATCGAATTAACATCTGGATGTTCAGGCTGAAACAAGCCTGATGTCCCTGGTTCAACTGTGGCGAAACTGACTTATTTATGTTTAATTTACTCAAAAATGACAACATAGTGGAATCAAAAGATCTTATTCTTGTACACATGTTGATTTAAATGGTCTAACTGGTCTCTAAATGGTGTCAGATAGAGGGAGTCTGCGACAGCAATACTGAAGTAAGTTCATTTATAAGTCAAAGAATGAAGAGATATTAGGGCCACTTTAAAGAAATCATCATTTAAAAAAATGTTCTTAATTTTATTAATTTTTAAATTTAATTTTTAAATGAATGTATATTTTTTTTAAATATTACTTTTATTTATAGATACATAAAAAGAAGGCTTTTTACTTCCCCCCCCATTTGCTGTTAATATCAGCTCCATATATCCATCAAATTAACAGCTGACTAATCTCTGCTGAACTTTTCAGATCAGGTTAAAAATACCAAAAGAAAAATAAGTACGTTTACTTATTAAATGCTTTTTACAGACAAACGGTCACAAAGCATTGTGCACAAAAAAGAGTAAAATAAATAATACGTA